GGGAGTAGGTACTCGTCGGTGTAGTGAGGAGACAGGTAAGGTCGAAGGGTCAAGGTAATGATGGGCAGGTGGGGGTGTGTTATCACTGCGTCATTGCTCAGCGGACATTCACAGCACCGCCGCTTGACCGATATGGATGATAGTAGAGATGGCATCAGGCATCGCTCCACCAAGGAGGGTAGTACGTGGGGTACAAAATGAGGGTTCATCGGAGGTCTCTCAGGAAAAGACGTGAGAGCTTATGACATCGAACGGGAGCGCTCACCCTATCCTCACTACCACGGTGTGGTACCGCCTAGGCCCGAGGGCCATCTCCACAGTCCAGCATACGATGATACCGTCTCCTGTATATCCTCGAACTCATCGGAGGGATCATCCTCGTCAACTCTAGCAGCTAGGACTCTTGGAAGGCGGATGTTATACGGCCGTGATCGATGGCGACACGACCTACCTTCATGGTTCTATTCCGACATTGAGAGACAGCAGGCGTCTATCGGTACACCGCCGAGGCACAGGCCGATCTGGGCTGGCGACCATTGTCGCGGGACAGATCTTAGGCGCTATTCGAAGATGTATGACGATCCGTCATTCTACAGTAGTCGACCTGAGGCACCCAGCGCTCAGCTCGACCTGCGACCGTATAGGAGTGACATGGTGGACCACGAACCCCCACAGGTCTCGACTTCCGTCCCTTCCTCGACCTTGAGACGCTACAGTAGTGCCCATAGGCCGAGTAACTCCGCATTAGATCTTTCGACTACTCCTAGCTTAGGGACGCTGGTCGGGGAGACTGGATCTCTGAAAGCTTCTCGACCTAGCTGGCCTTCTCACTGCTAGGCACCGCATCATATTGCCGCCTCTTATTCCTACCAGATTTTCTCGCGAGTATAATCTTCTCGGGCATTTTGTTCATGCCCTTTAATATTACAGTCGTTCATTATACTACGACCATCAGTATCTTCGTTTTTCATCGCCCTCCATCGTATGCGGGCCTGGGTTTCATCAGAACTCCTACCGCGTTCATGGTTAGCTCAGGATAGTCCTATCCCGAGTTAGACAGTTTGATACCATGGGTTTATGCTTCAGCAGTGACAGTCCGTCATCACCATCAAGAGAAGAACAACAAGAGCATCACCATCATCATAAGCATCGTGAGGACCCCTCTCGTCCCATTAAGATGCAGCAGGAAGGAGAGCGGCAATCGGGGAAGTATCAGACCAAGTCCTTCTATCCGTCCCCCAGGAATCATCTATTTCCATCAGGACCGTACCCCAGGCCTCCACGACCAAGTCAATGAGCCATCCAGCGGACCATGCGGCTGGTGAAGGCGTCAATTCGAGACAGCTTCCCCCCAACGCTATCTCACCGCGGAGGTCACTCTCCAGACGTGGATCGTCGGGACCCGTGGCACTATCGGCGAAGGACTCATTGGTGTTGAGCGCAGATGACGAGAGTGACGCCACTGGCCATCGTAAGTCCTCATCCACCGAGGCAAATGGTAGTACGCCGGCATTTACCTCCGCATCCTTATCGACGGAGTTAGGTACCCATGTGGACGATCCAGAAGCCGAGTCCAAGGCCTGGGCGGAGTACGAGGCTCGACGGGAGAGGTTGGAGCGACGGCGAAGGGAGAGAGAGGCGAGGGAGGAACAGCGGAGGAAGAATATTGAAGGTAGTCTCGAGTTCGGAACTGTGGGAGAAATACCCCTCCCTCTTCAGCGTTGAATGCTGCTTCGAACTACACTTATATGGACGGCACGACACAGAGGTAGTACAACAAGGCACATCCCCATCCCCGATGCAGTTGTGGTGACAGGCATGGTCCACAGTTTGCCGATGATTTCACTCCCCGAGGCACATTCACACCGCGCGGTATCAATCGCGAGTCAAGCGCTTTATCTCTTTATGCGGACCGTCTGACCTCAACACGAAGATACCAAGCTAGTCCTCGCACCTCCTCCGTCTACGGGTATCAGCCTAGCCCACGGGCGGCAGGAGCCCAGTCCCCAGCAACAGGCCGTTACGCACCCCTCTACCAGCCTAGTCCGAGAGCAGCAGGGGGACAGTCTCCTGCCACCGGGCGCTATACACCTATCTATCAGCCGCCCGCCCTTGTAGCGAGTCAGTCAGCATACACCACAAGTGGTATGGCGCCTCCGCAGATGAGCCGTGAGCGTAGTGCCTTCAACACTCCGTTGCCGGTTCAAGCCGCTGGAGCTGGATCTACTCCAGGCCTTAGAAGGTGGGCTACAACGCTCTAATCTCCTCCCAGCTAGCTCTCCAGTAGGTCTTCAGCCGACCCTCCGTCAGCACGGAAGGTCTCTGCCATTCCCCCTACAGGTGGAGATGAGGCTCTTCTTGACACCACCACAACAACTGCAGCTCCCTCACTCTCGGATGCGGCAGAAGGTGTAGCAGTTAGTGCGGCTGTAGCTCCATCGCTGCCAATGGAGAGTCTATCACGACAGACCAGTACTCAAGTACCAAGCAACGTAGCATTGGCCCAGCCAGTGGAAAGGCCTCCAGCAAGGAGAGATAGAGACCATGAGGAGGAGGTGGTGAGCGTAAGCAGGTGAGAATCATGAACGTGATAGGAAGCTGGCATGATTCTTTTCAGTGGTGACACTAGCCTTTTTTCAAGTTTTATCGGCCAAGATAGTGTCACCAAGACCCCAATAGCAGACCGGTCTCCTATCGAGAAGAGTCCCACACCGAAGAGGTAGTATTTTGGTATTAAAAATGCCTTGCATTCCCCTCACTTTTACTCTCCCTGAATTCCACAGCGGTTTCATGACTACTAGAGTCTTCCACAATTGTCGATATTACAGTCAGTCCATTCTCAGTCCGTATCGAGAACTCCCGCCGCAAACACCGACCCCCCGAGGCGTCTCCACCCCTCACAACAGCACTCCCCGTGCGGAGCTTGGTAGTGGTCTAGCGGCTGCCGTCAATAAGGTACGATACTCTATAATAAAATGTAGCACAGTGGCCTCCTTTTTCAGAAGGACTGGAATGGCATCAATAACCTCTTCTACCAACGTAGTTGAGCCTTTCATCACGGAGTAGTGATGTGTAAAGTTGTTCGATCCACGCTGGAAAATTGCTCACACACTTACTCAGTGTATACCGTTGGTTTCTGGCTCTCCTATATCAGGGTCCTAGCACTACTGCTTTTAGATTATCCCACCACAACTTCATGTTGAGTTCAATCTCTGCTTTGCGGGCAACTGATGAGGTTATCACCAGTGGAGGGATGGGGTTTGCCTCGTACGGCGCACCCTTGAGACTGTTACCACCAGAGTGTTCTCATCAAAATTCGGCCTTGTTCATTCGGAACATCCGAGTCTGACCATACCTCCGGTCCGGATATCGTAAGGTCACATAGTCGGATGAATTTCCTAAGGTTTCCAGCTCAGCCGGCTTAGATATTGAGAGTGTATTCCACAGGGGCACGTGAATGATCAAGGGGTCCGTGGAAATATGAGCTACGGGAACTCGTCTAAATGCTCATCTTCGTCCATACTAGTATGATGGAATACACTACACCTGGAGGCGTTTGTCTCATTTTCAGGCTCTCGAGGTGAAGGCATGGTTCTGACGATCTCTTGTAAGGAAAACACCCACCACCGCACTCCATAGAATACGTATGCTACATATAAGGTATACATCTGATTGGCCTTGGTCTTAGGCGACGTAATAAGACAAGAGTTGAGTTTTTCCCTATAGGTAAATACGGCAAACATAGCAAGGCTCAGGAGCTAGCCAACCCTCGAGAAGACATTGATCTGTGCCAGTGTCTCCGGAAAAGCCTACACATCCCAACCCGTACCCATACCAAGCGCAATCCAACGCTAATGAAACTTTATCCAACGCGAAGCTACTCACACTATTAGGCGGATCGAATGAAATGCTTGTGATCGATTTGATGGTATAAAATACTGTCCCTGGGTATCAGAATCGGTCAATCTAGTGCGTCGTCGCTCCCCCTTTTCCAGAGGAAGTGGTGGCATTTACAACTTTCGCGAGGTAGGAGGTGGACGGAGAAATCTGCGATGATGCGGCATCTTGCTTACCTTCATCTAGTATGTACCGTGGAACGACCTATTTGGGAAGCTCTACGATCGTCTTTGCAAAATGTGAAGGCGAGAGATCACTACCTGCCAATCGTCTTTCCCAACAAGGAGAGGGAATTCATTCTCATCATCCATCTTGGGTGGAGGCTTGCCCACTCGGGCGTCCAAACCATCACTCTCTCCGCTCAGCCTCTGCAAGAAAGTCGCTCCCCAAAGGCAATGGTGGACCCAGCCATTACCAATAGGGTATCTACTGTAGTATCCCAGTCCCGATCACTGCAGAGGTAGATGTCTTGGATAAGGGCCGAATCCAATAAGGGGAACATCTCGAAGAGGTCAGTGATCTCGTCTTCAAGGCTGGAAGGATGAGGTGAAGCACTCCGCCGGCTTCCGTTCCGCAGTGCTACTACCATTCTGCTTCTTCTCGCTCCAGCTCGCGCGAGCGCTCCCGCTCATGAGCTTGATTCTCCTTTGCCGTTTGCTTCCACACCTTCAAACAACGTGACTCGAAGTATCTAATACATCCGAGAAGACTCCACTGAGGCGCTCAGTGTTAGCGAACTACTACTCCCGTTGGACCGGGGTAGCATTTGGCTTGGCTCCCGGCATGTTTTCACAGTCATCCCACAAATTAAGCCGAGGCTTGCGATTACTCGACGATTTCTTCTTCGGTCGGCCCGCGGCTAAAGGACCAGACAGCAGCTGCTGTATGCCCAGTCACGCAATGTTGAGGGTATTATGCGCTATCACGTATCTCAGCTGTGTGAATTCACATTCTTAACGGCGCTTCCGGATCGACCATGCGAGTCTACAATTCACCATTCGACTCTACGAGTCGCTTTCGGCTTGTAGAGAGACCAGTCAGGGATTCAGCATCATGCTGTACGGTGACTGTACAGCATGAGGCTGAATCTTCGATGCACTATTACCAATTCTAGACTGCTCTTCTTCTCGCTCAATGGCCTCCCATTCTTCTCCATAATCGATTTGTGGCGAAGCTTCTCCCTTCTCATTTACCTCAGCAGCAGAACTAAACTTCGCTGAGTTCTTCCGCGGAGAAGGCATTCTGAGTTCAACGTGTGCCTTGAAGATGAATGAGGAAAAGGGGATTCGATAGACGCTGATACGAAGCGGTAGATGATTGCACGATAATGAGCGAGGTACGATACGCGGAGTGCGGCATGCGAATGATGGGAAATTTCTCCACGCCCCAACCCACGTAACTATACGAGTTTTGTGATACAAAGGGAATGGATGTAGCGCCGTCAGCAAACCCGTGACTTTGAGGTGCACAGTTTTGTGTGACACTTTGGCCGAGTGGTTAAGGCGGCGGCCTGCTAAGCCGTTGGGCTCTGCCCGCGGGAGTTCGAATCTCCCAGGTGTCGTATTAACTTTGTGCACCAGCATCCCAATCTCGGCGGGCTACAAATACCTGTTTCAAGTATGAATCTAGGCGTTGCATTATTAAACACTGCCGCAGGTGTCGTTGAGCGGGTTGTGAAGTTAACAAGAGTATGGGCATAGGTGGTAACAGACGAAGTTCCCCCTCTCTCTTCCGTCCGTAGCTTGAACTGGAGCGGAGTGACCGGAGTTGATTGTAAAGGATACTTTGCATCACAATCTAGGACGGTTTTGGTCTAGATCAACTCGAGAGCAATCTTCTTCTTGTCGTTTCGGAGTTGGTCGCGAATCGCGGGTAGGGGCCTTCTCACGGTGAGCTAGTCTGGAAAAATCAGTCCATCCGCTCTATCGGATGATGGGAGCTATGTTCGCCGATACGCAGGGCAGACGGGCTGCGACAGAGCGCTGGTATGTTGTAGCCCCAGCTTCAATGACCTGTTCGATGATGGGTGCCTTGAGATTCTTGACATGGAGTGGTTACCTTGCAAGCATTACTCAGTTTGTTGCAGGGAATCTCTGTATATCCTGTGATTGTGGAAAATCATGTAGCGCAGGTGGATGCTGGCGTGATCAGATGCTATCCGGCCTATTGCCACCATGTCGATCATGCCAGTACCATGATGCAGTTAGGGAGAATAATACAGGACATTCTCCCGAGCTCGGTACAGTCTACGCCTCGTATCGCGAGTGCGCGAGCACCCCAGGCATTCAATGCTTTGGCTCTGATAGTTATTTTACGATTCATCGCCCAAGAGAAGGTCGATACATGTTGGTTTCGATACATGCCATTAGTGTCGCTGGTCTCCCCTCCAGTGTACTTGGCTCATTTGTGTAATACTCGAGGGAGACAGTATGCTATCGGGAGGACTTTGCACTCATGTTCTTGGTCCCTCTCAACACGGTTGGGCTGTTCCTTGTTAGGGATAAAACAGTGATAGTCCGCTGTTGGCAACTTATTGACATAGCCTGCTCGAGCTCGGACGTGGGAGTTGGTATCGCAGCTACATAATTCAAGTTGCCACTTTGCTCCAGTGATCACTCCAAGCTCCTTTGATATCGACAAGGCAGATGGAGAGGTGGGACGTATAAATGTCTATAGTACTTTCATGTTGCCACCCGAGCTGAGTTTATTCAGCCTTGTGGCTATCACCAGGTCAACTCCCGCTGTTCTCACTCAAGCTCCATGGCACACTCCTCGGCTTTGCGTTGTATCAATTCCTTGCCGAACGTTTTCTAGTGCGTGTTGTTCATCGATGAAAACTAGGAGAGCGTCTGTCGGCGTGGCACCAGCGGAAGCA